AGCAGGCTTCCTGCTGAGCAGGGAGCCCGACGTGGGACTCGATCCCAGGACCCTGGGATCATGACCTGAGCTGAAGGCAGACGCTTAATGACTGAGCCACCCAGGCGCCCTCTCATCACATTTCAATACTGCAATTTAAGTTTATTAGCTGGACACATGAAATTAATCTGAGATGCAGTTTGAGGAATTGACCATTAAATACCAGTGGAGGTTAGCTTTAAAAAAAAATAAATGACACTCAGAATTCTATGAAAAAAATCAGAAGTGATGCAATTTATCATGTTTCAGATGAAGTGGTAACATTTTAGTTCCCAACAAAGAGTAAATAGGGAGTTTGGGCTTGGTAGTGTGCCCCCATCACTGCTCTAAGTGAGAAGATTTTGAGCTGGGGAGTGACTTTGGACCTCAGAATATTCTGATGGTGTTGGCAAGCCTGGTAAAGGGAGACACCAGGGGCTGGTTCACATGTCAAGGTCGAGATATTGGCAGCAACAGGGATGTTGAGGGGATGACATGGAAGCTTTTGAGGTGAGGAAAAGTGACAGGGTTTAGGGTCTGCATGGAGGTGGGAGGCGCAGGAGAGGCAGGAATTCGAGTGACAGTGTAAGACTTTCCAGATGGGTTTAGGAGCAGCTAAAAGGAACAATTTGACATCAGTGGCCCACTTTTAGACCATCCATGAAATAGGTCCTAACCTCCAGCAAAGCCTTCAGAGGCCACTAGCATGTCCTTCTGAAGGGATTCTATTCTACCGAGATTCTTGAGAAAAGAGCCCTCATTTGGCATTGACTTCAACTTGGAGAAGATGTAGTTTTATCATAAGAATTCTTCAGTGAAAAAACATAATATTTTTAATAGCATTGGGTTCTGTTCCCCTTTCTCTACCTTTTTACCAAGGGAGTGACTTGGGCTTCTATTGTCCTATCTGAAAACTTGGGATAACAACCCCTGTTTCAAATAGCTGCTGTCAGGCTTCCATGAAATAAGGATACATAAGCCATGCATACACAGTTGGAAGGAGGCTTATCAAGGTCTTCCTACCAATCAGATGTGTTCTGTGTGATGCTAGTGGGTGAGAAGGAGGTGTGGGTGGAAGTTATAGGGAGACAGATTTTGCCCCAGGGTAAGACAAACCTTCTGGGATCCAGAATTTTCAGAAATTGGAATAGCCATGTGGAGCGAGAGCAAGATGCAGGCACTGAGGGTCTTCTAGCCACATGACGTGGTAGAAAAGAGACTTTCCACTAAGCTGTGGCACACACAATAGGTGATGGCCCCACTTTCGTGGGTTTGCCTAACCAAGGTTACATACAGCTATCTGTCACTCCATCCCTTCTACTAAAGAGAACATAGCATAACTCCAGTGAACGAGAGCATTGACAATTTAAGCATTCATATTAATGGGTTAATATTTATTAACTATCATAGGCTGGGCACATATGTGCTTTCTATGTGTTCTCACATTCAATCTGTAGGAAACTGTTGTGAGGTCAGGTTGATGGCTAATTCAGAATAGGCTCAGAGCCGTGAAACACCTGCCTATGACTTCTCAGCTTGTCAGTGATGAAGCCAGGGTAGAAACATGTGTTTGCTTGCCTCAGACTTGTGTTTATCGAGAAGCAGGAGGAGGAAGAGGGAAGGAGGGAGGACAGTGTAGGGGGGAGGATGGAAACGTTCACAAATATTAGCAGAGCACCTTAAATATTATCAGCCATAAATCATTTATGACACACATTACAAATGGAAAACACAACGTAGAGAAGTACTTTTCACACCCTCCTGCGTTCCACAGAAGTGCTCCATCTGCTTCAGACAGTGGCCATATGCCCCCAGTGGCCTGCAATGCAGTCTGAAGAAAATTTCTTATTTTATTTCATAACATGGCCATATTTGTTTAATATAAAACATGCCTCCATGTTTTAGAGGAAAATGAATATACAAGAGAATGCACGTCTTCTTTATCTTGTGCCTCCTTGTATCCCCCAGGGAAGACCACTCTCCCCACCACCACAATATTTCAGTTCTAGAAACACCACCAGAAAAAGTATACATTTGTTAGTCTAGAGGTGGATAAAATATCTAATAAACATTTTTTAAAAAAAGAAAGCCTATATCCATAAATTAGCATCCCAGAAGTTTACAAGGCAACAGTTATTCATACATTCCTATGTAAAATATCTCGAGATTTGTATGCATTTTACCTACCAAACTTTCATTGGCCGAACACTGATGGAACCCCCAGGGACTTCTGGTCTACCCCCCAATATTGCTTTCTGCTCCAGCACTACCAAAACAAACTCTCTTTTGGGTAACCAGTCCAGCATTCTCCAGAAGGTTATATTCCTCACTAGAGTCCTTCAACACTCATAAACTCATACTCATCGCTGTGTTGAGAGTCAGGAGACATTGTCTGCCCATTGCCTCTGCACCTGTTACCTTATTGGCCTTATCCAAACAGCCCCAGCCCTAACAGCAGCTGAAACAACAGATGGGCAGGAGAACTTGAGATTTTTTGACATCATCCTTTTGTTTATGAAATCCCACCCCCCAACTCTGGAATCTAAAAGGAATTCTCTTCATTATCATTTTGTGGGGTTTTTTTCTCCCATGGCACTTTTATTATTATTAAAAAGTAAATAATTAATACAGAGGGAGGTAAAAAAAAAAAGGGAATAACATCATCCTTCGAAAACGGTCAAAAAGGAAATGGGCATTGTGATTTGGTGATGTGGAACTGACATAAATCTATCTCTGCCTTGGAGGATAATTGGCAGTAGCCAGGCTTGATGGCAGGATGAATTCAAGCAGGGAGCTGAGAGGGGCTGAGGAAGGGGAGGGAGGAAATCTGGAGTAAGGTTGAGCGCGAGAAAGGGGGAGCAGGCATTGCACTGGGAGGTCTTGTGAGCAGTGGGGAGAGCCACCAGTGCCTGGAATTGTAATTTCAGGACAGAATCCCCCTTTGCAAGGGATGAGATTATTAAAACAGGCCTGAGCTAGGGATTAGGGAGGCAGAATGCAGGCTGCTATTTAGTAGTGCATGATTGTAAGCAAGTTGATTAACCTCTCTCTGCCTCAGATTTATCATCTGTAAAATAAACATGAAAACACTAGCACACATGTAGGGTTGCTTCGATTCCCAAATGAGAAAATACATGGAACGTGTGTTGCCCCAAGCCTGACATTCAGTTAATGGATGCTGCGGCTGTTACTATTTTAGTGAAGAGTGAGAGACAGGGACGAGCAAGAGGTGGAGAGGTGGACAGTCACTGGATGTGAAGCGTAAGGAAGGGGCTTGCTCACATGTAATGGGGTTTCTGTTCAGTGCCTAAAAGGAGGCGAAAAGATCAGACAATGCCCACAGGATCTGGCATGGTACTTTCCCAGCTCTGTCTGCTTATCCCATTTCGTTTTCCTGGATGACATTCTCCCAAACACCTTCGTTATGGGCCACGCACCATCCGGTTCTTATCCACCAGGGTTATTATAAAGGTTAAATTAAAGATAAAAGTACCTGGTAATATTCACGGCTGTCTGTCATTTGATGCTAGTCATTATTGCTCTACATTTTGGCGTGGTCCATCATGCATAGGAGAGTGCCTTGACCACAGTAGACAATACAAATCATTGGATAGCTTAATGTGCATGTGATTTCAAATGTAAGCAGGATTGATATGACATACTCAAGGGGATCAATTTCATCTGCCCCCAGCATTGTGTCTCTGTAGCTAATCATCTTGGTTAATAACCTCCTTTGTTTTCCAGGGATCTCAGTCTTGGCAGTGTGTACCAGTATTGGGTCATCACCATTTCGGGAAGCGAAGAGAGTGAGCCATCACCTGCTGCCATATACATCCATGGAAGCGGGTACTGTGGTGATGGCATTATCCAGAAGTAAGTAGACCTAATTAAAGAAAGGGAAGGGAGTGATGCGCACGAGGCCAAGAGAATGTCAGGGTGCTACACAGAAGAGCTTACGGGAGACTCTTCAGTGTGGGAGCTGTGAGTTACCAGCAATTACTAGCAGTCTGTCCATTTGTCTGCAAGCAGTCTGCTGGCCTCAAAGGGAAAGCAGGGTTCTTTTTTGAACACGTATATGTAATATAACATGTGATTCTGATAGAGCTACCATTGTGCACTTACTACCAGTATGCTCTTATTCGTCGTCGTTTTATGGGTACTGCAAGGATTCTCTTTGTTTTTCCACTCCAGCCGACATTCAGTTAACAGGACACAGGGCATCCAGGTCAAAACACTTTTACATTCTCTGCTAGTTAACCATTTAAATTTGTTAAAACTGCATATTTATTTGTAATTTCTGTTGTATTGTCTTATATGAACAATTTACAAAATGGTTAAAGGCTCATAAAAATAACAAAATATTCTAACTCACTATACTGTCAAAACTGTAAATAGTAAACAGTATTCCAGAGTGAATACTGAATGTGAACATAAATAAGTACAAAGAGGCAAATGAACCAGAAAGTGTAAAGACTCCGCACAAGCAGCCGAAAAGGAAAAGTGTGAGTAGAAAATATAAAGCCACAGTCTACACTGTGGATTTTATTGGGTAATCACTCCATTTATCCCCTTGTCCACAGGGTGAGATATTGCACAACTGTGAAATAGGGGCAAGAAGCCATTAAGACTCTCACATTGTTTAAAAAAAAATTTTTTTTTTAAAGTAAACCTTTGAGTTTTTTCCTCCCAAATTAGCACAAAAATGTTTTCTGGCACAAAACAGAATAGTTTTGTCCCTGGGGGTGAAAAAGAGACCAGAAACTGTTCGCAGTTAAGTTTCTTATTGCTAAAACTGTGTTCCTTATTGCTAACGTGGTTGCAAGTTACACTATTGCTAAGAGACTTTTAAAACTCTGGGCCGATTTAATGACAAACGTCACACATGGAGAGGGCAAACAAGCTATTGGCGAAATCCCTTCATTAAATGGAGCTGTTGGGTGTCACATAATATCTGTGGAATTGCAGTGGCTGTTTCTGGAGGGGGAGGGGCTCTGTAAGGAGAATTCGCTTCACAGTTGGATGAAACCGCTGATGTGTAGACCATGAATCATAGGTGTAGTACATACATGAAAGAGAAGTGCTAGATGACTCTTTCAGTTCATCATTGACTCTAGTGCTGGAGGGGAAGAGCAATTTCATTTGGTACCCTTAATTTTGTGGTATGTGATATAAACTGGAAACCTGCTTGGGATGAAAGGAACGGCCAGGAGCACAGCAAGGCTAACCCAGTTGTGCAAGTAAAGCGTTTGCACATGAATACCCATCCACACAGACCTCAGAAAGCAGTTTGCTTTCTGGTCATGACTTAGCATGGAAGGAAAGATTGAATGTTATATATATGCTCAGATGATGGCCAGCATGATTTAGCTGTGCAGAGAGAAAGTTTCTGCTACCCCACAGACTGAAGCATATGAGCTGTTACAAGAAAGGTACTAATTCAAGTTTTTGGGATAAGAAAGGACTTTTTTTTTTTTAATGTTAACACTAGCAAGGCCAGTAATGATTATTTGCACGATTTCAAGAGGCTTGCTGAGGTGACGTATCTTGGGGGTATGCATTCATGTCTTAAATGTCCTGCAACTATAATTTCAAAGCTGAATTGTCAAGATTTTAATATCAAGGAGATTGTATAAGGACTTTTAAGTGTGGAATTATGGTGAAAACCACCTGATTGCCAAGAATTTGACTCGTCAAGCGTAGAAGATGAAGCTCCTCATTTGTCGGAGAAGGAAGCTCATGGTGTGCTGTTGTGTGCTTTTAAAATCCTATCCAAATGCAGCAACCAGACATGAAGACACAGTTTCCAGTGCTTAATATAACACAATTGGGGAAAGGGAAGCCATTCACCATTCTTTCCCACATTAAGACATCAACTTCTGGCTCTTGACACAGCTGTTGTCTAATGGAATACTGAGCAACTGAGCAAGGCAGTCTCCAGGGAGAGTGCCCCATCATTTGTGGACCCAAGATTGAGCTGCGTATCCAGAATATCCAGGAAATACTTGCGGTCATAGCTGACAACCCATGATTGTGATTTGGGATTTTCTAATTTAGCACAAAGAATAAAAAAAAGAATCTCACCAGATGTGGAACCTGACCTACAACTCAGTCTGTCCATTTGGAGTCAGATATAGATGCATTGGTAAAACACTGCAAACAGTGTCATTCTTCTTGCTGATCTAAAACGATTATTATTAATTTTATTATTATTAATATAAGTAGTGTTTTCAATAAAGTTTTTTAGTATTTTATCTAAAATTGGTATCCTACACAGATATCACTTAAGTTACCAAATAGTTGTTGACATGCTTTGTAGAAAACCAAATGCAGCTAATGAATGGTTCCCTAGGCAAAAACAAACAAACAAAAACTTTGAGGAAAAGGAGTAATGTCATCTTAGCTAATTTTCATGGGATATGTGCTGAATCACTATATATATTTAAGGGAATTTACAAAGATACTGAGATAGGCTCAACACTTAATGAGGCCCCAATGGATGAAAGCATTGGATGAATATAATGATAATATTCATAAATATTTATTGAGCCTCCACTATGCACAAGCATTGGGCTACACCATTATCTCCTTGGGTCCAACCATATAAAATAGGTTCTATTACCATACTTCACAGAGTATGATGTACAAAGACTAACATGGCTTTCTCAAGTTTACACACCCAGTAAAGAGCAGAACCAAGATGCGAACCCACAGCCCATGTTCGCATTTGGATTCACTGTCGCCTTGCTGTGTCACCAACAGGCCCGCAACACTAGTAAGTGAGGGAGTAGCTACGTGCTCTCTGCTGTATCCCAGGGGCTATGCCAGGCATTGCGGAGCTAGGATGACAAACACTGTCATTTCCTTTGACATCGGAAAGCCCAGTATGGGGGGCTGTCAGGTAAACGCAAAGGTGGTCAGTTTGACAAGTGCTAGGATAGATGGAGCCTGGTGTCTTTGGACACAGAGAAGACGGACACCCACTCCAGCTTGGGAGGTCAAAGAAGGTTTCTATAAGAAGCTCTCTATGTAATGATAGATCTGCCATGCCTAGAAGATATTTGTGGTGACACTAATGTTTTGCTTAAACCAATAGAACATACTGTTTGGGTGGTGAGGGAAGGTGGGTTAGATGTGTTCTTTGTGGCTTTGGGAAACCAGCCCAGGTTAAAAAAAAAAAAAAAATCTCTCCCTAGATAATGCATGAGATAGCTAAGTAACACAAGGCTATCACCAATTTCCAGCTCTCGAGATTCACTGGCAGAGATTGGAAATATGGGCCCAGCTTGGAATATGGATCTCTCTTCTCCTCGGCTCATGCATTTGCAGACAGTAGAGAACTTGAGAGGCTCTTCAGAAATCCATGCAATGGCCCAGCCATCATAAGGATTGATTGCAAAGCACCATCCTGCTACTCGGACACCTCCTAAAAGCAACAAACATTGTCCAGTGTTAACTGCCCGAGTGAAAGGAAAAGTCTGAGGCCTCTTCCATGCTTTGACAGGTCCCAGCTGGTCTCTGGGGAGGGAGGGACAGCTGACACACAGTCTGCAGACACCTCCCGGGACTGAGTGGGATGGGAACCCTGATACCCTGAGCATCTATTATCTATCATGCACCGTGCCAGCCACGTAAAGTTCCATTCAATTCTTGTGCCAGCTCTAAGGAGGGGTATAGTTATTTCCATCTGAATCTGTGAGAACACGGACACTTGGCCTCTGGAATAGCACGGTCCAGTGGATTCTTCTGCAGTGATGGAAATATATTCCGTGCTGTTCTGTCCGGTAGCCACTAGCTACATACCACATACAGCTATCGAGGCTTGAAATGTGGCAATTGTGACTAAGGAATGGAATTTTAAATTATTTTTAGTCTTTATTGATTTAAATGGTCCAATCGAGATTAGGAGACTTGTCTGAGATCACGCAGCTGGTTTGGAATAAGAGGATCTAAACCCATGTTTTCTGTTTCTCAAAGGATGAGAATTTTCCAGGTTGTGATAATCCACTCAGTCTTTCAGCTCTTTCTCCTCTTCCTCATCTCCTCCGTCCAATTCAGAGAGCATTGCTCAGTATCTGTCCATCCCAACCTCTGCCGAACCACCCTGAGGTGATAGAAATAATTCCTAACAAAACAAAACAAAATGAACAAACAAGAGGAGACACTTTTATTTCCTAGCAGCATAGTTCCCACGGGCCTTAGAGTTTCTCACCGCATGAAATGATGCACTGGATGGAGAGAGCAATACTTTCTAGTGAAAGGAAGACCAGTCCCAAGCATGTGACCGGGGGGGAAAAAAAAAAGTCTTTATTTCTAAGTTCACGGTTGGGGGGTGGGCGGGTAGGGAACAAAAAGGAGGGTAAGGTAGGGCATAGTGAAGAACAGAATTTATATTTCAGAAGCTCAGAAATTTCCTTCAAATCCACCATTTTAAAATGGCAGCAAGATCTCCCAGACACAGGGGAGCAAGGTCGGTTCCTTCATCCCTTCATCCATTCCTTTCTCCCATCTGACCTAACCGACAAGATTTCAGAGAACAGGTTTGGAGGCAGGAACTCAGCTTCGTTGTGGGAAGCACAAAATAAGGGAAAGTAATAGGCATCTCATTTGGAAGAAGAAGAGATGGACACTGGGGGTAAGGGACTTGCCTGAGGCCTCTTGGAAAGCTGATGGCCTGGGGAGGGCTTTCCCGTGGCCAGCTGTGGTTCTGAAGCTGCTCTCTCTGACAGATCTCTCTTCTGTTCCCGGTCTGCAGAAGCCGAGGTGAAGAATGTGATGACATGAATAAGCTCAGTGGTGATGGCTGCTCCCTCTTTTGCCGACAGGAAGACTCCTTCAATTGTATTGGTAAGTGTGTGTCATTTCTTTGGGCTTAGCTGGAGAAGGGGACCCTGCGGGATAGTGTCAGGCCAGTAACAGCAGTAGTGAGGACTAATGATGATTTATTCCTTTGTATTACAAATATTGACGGATTGCCTCCTGTGGGCCAGACCCTGTTTGAGGCACCGGGAAATACAACAATGGGAAGCAAAGGAAAACAGGCAAATGCTCCTGCCCTCACAGAGCTTACGGTCCCCTCCCGTGCATCACAGCAGAGGCTGCTGGTAACTCGTTTTCAAGCCGGCTTCTTCCTTGCTCTTCTTCGCACCAGCTCTCCAGGAGGGTGATTAGTATAGATTTTTAAAGGCTTGTATTCTCACTTTCACAAACCAGAGAAATGATGAAAGTGGTCCAGAATCTCATGGGTTAGAAGTGATTGGAGACAGAACCAGGGCTTGAACCTGACTCTGTCTGATTGTTAAGCACACGCTGAGCTCCTTCTGCTGCACAACCTCCAGCCAAGATCTGGGAACCCCAGTAGTTCCCTTTGCACACTCAGAACGTCGGGCCGTCTCTCTGACGCGAGGGTGGAGGAAGAGCAGACCAGCTTGTGTTTAGAAAGCAAACGTCCTTTTCCCACCTTTACTGAGTCAGTTGGGAAATTTGTGTTCCTCTGGCTCCTCTAGGAGTCTGGCTGATCTTGTTGTTACAGCCCCACTTGGGAGGCCCTGGCCAGCCCAGGGCTGGTAAACAGACAGGGGTTGGGGGGCAGGGATGGAATTTTGAGCTGGCTCAGATGAGATCATACTTCCTTTAAGATGCAAATCGATACCTGAAGATCAAAGGTCCCCCGGCTAATCCCCTGGGCTGGAGGTGAAAACTAATCACAATTCATTTGCAAGTACAAAAGACAGAGGTGCTCTATCTGAAGAGAGAAGGGGCAGCTACCGAGGGGATGAAAACATTGGTGGGAAGATTTCACACTGAAAGGCAATTTTCTAGGAAGACGAAAGGGAAGGAAATGTCATCGGGTCCTCCCATTCGCAGTGCATTACAGGGACACATTTAGACCTTCCTTCTCCAGGGAGATTGTGAGCACTGTGAGCTCTTCACCACGTATGTATCATTCACCCTTAGTCCATTCTCAGCACACATGGATTGAGCACCTACTGTCTCCTTGCCAACAAGTAGGGGCTCAGCAACACAATAAGAGGTGTCCCACAGCTAACTGTGGATGGAAGAAAGGAATACGTGGAGGAAGGAAAGACAGAAGGGGAATTTCCAGGCAGGACCTTGGGTTTTTAAATGACAGAAGGCTGTTTTCTTTGCTCTGTTGATTTGCGCATGGTCCTGGGTAGAAACTTGATGTTAGTCTGGTGGTGTGGTGAAAGGAACCTGAGCTGAAAATTAGGAAAACCAGGCTCTAGTCCTCACTGTGCTTGAGAACTTGCCACATTAACACTGGCCAGGTTGCTTCCCTCGTCTGGGCCTCAGTTTACCTGGTGTAAACTTCAAAGGATTGGGTTAGGTGTTCTCTAAAGGCCTTATGTACACTTGACTTGTGCTATTTCCAAGGTGTGTGACTATTTCCCATGCCCATGAGCTACTTGCCTTTGTCGTCATCCTCGTGACACCCAGCATCACTCCCAGATCATGCTGGAAAATATCTACCTATTTTACTCACACTAAGGTGGCACATAACTTAAGTGCTTCTGGAAGGAAGGGAGGATGTGGTGGTGAAAGTAGGATATGGGACCCTCAAAGAGATGCTCGGGTGGCCCTGGTGCCCACATTCTGGGGAGCTTCGGCACTATGCAGCAATACGCAAACACAAGGTAGCCTCCTACAGGTAGAAGCTCATCATCCACGGAAGGGGTCTGCAAACTCCAGTCCATGGGCCGGAACTGGCCTACTGCCTCTATTGGAAAGTAAAGTCTTACTGGAACACAGCATACTCTTTACGTGTTATCTATGGATGCTTTCCTGCTACAAATTATTGAGTGGGTACAGCAGAGACCCTATGACCCAAAGAGCCCAAACTATTAGTAATCTGGCCTTTTACAGACCTTTGCTGACCTCTGGCTCGTGGATTTGAAGTCTTTGATCATCTTGGTTATTGGAGCCTGGTGCAGAGAGGAGGTGACAGTTATGACATGGTTTGCCATTTCTAAGAAAAAGAACTGAATTTTAAGCATACAGTGGTGGGGCCTGGGAGATTCTTAGAAAGAGCACTGGACAGTGAGTCCAGTCCTAGCGGGCCTTCCCCACCCCCCCCCCACCCCCTTGGGCCTAACTTCCCTCCTCAACTTTAGCCGGAATGACTGTTTTGGACTAGATCAGTGATTTTTAAACTGTGCTAACTGAGATGCTTAAGAGGAAAGAGGTGAAGGCGAGGGAGGTGACAAGAAGGCGAGATCTGGACTGTCATAGGTCCACTTGATATACTGTTGTTCTCTACTAGATCCTGAGTATTCTGCTGGCGATGGTGATATTTATTGAACCTCCATGATATACCAACCACATTTATAAACTCTCATTTTCATAATAATCTTTTATGGTCCTGCTTTTACACAAGAGGAAGCTGAGGCATGAGAGTGAACCAAGGATATGCAGTTAAATGGTAGAACCAGGATGCAAACCCAGAGTCTGACTTCAGACAGTGGTGAGCTACCTGCAAAAAAAAAAAAAAAAAAAAAAAAGGTAGCTCCTGGTCTTGTAGGGTTTTGAGGGTGAACAAGGAACACACTGCTTTAGAACAGTCTGTCTAGTGAATTAATGGACTGGAATACAGAATTGTCAGTGGCGTGGATGGTGTCCAGGGAAGATTCTGTGTTACCTGGTATGTTGAGTATGGTTTGTGTTAGAGGAATGACCTCAGCTACACACCCACCCTCACCAATTAGAATTCCACTATAGAGACTCAGTGAGACACAGGACATTCCAAGAATTAAGGAGTCTATCTGGAGATCCCAACTCCCAGGAGTACATTCCAAGGACAAACTCCATGCCTTTGAGTCTAGAAAACCATCTTCCCTTAAGAACAGCTGAAGAATAGACAGTGAGTCTTTGGCTCCCACCACATGCAGCTTCAGTGAGTCAGAGAAATGGCACTGGAGTGTGGGAGGCTTTGCTGAGGTGGACTGGTTTCATCATTGTATTTGTCAAGACAGTGGCCAAGAGAACAGGCTTGAGTGATACTGACTTGGGTGCACACCATGGCTTAGACACGCGACCTTAGCTAAACGTCGGTGTTCTCATCCAGAAAATGGTAAAAGTCTGGAGACTCAACTGTGGAAGATATTTATCAATAATTTGGGAAACTTATCTGAATCTCCTTCCTAGATTTAGGAAATAATTCTCCTTGGTGTAATAATAATGAGGCAGAGCCCAAGCCCTCTACAGAAGTTGAAAATCCAAGTCTCCTTCCTTGACTCCCCTTTACAGCCTGAGCGTGGGCACAAGAACTACACTTTCCCCCCAGTTGTTTTGATAAGGATGGCTACAACCTGTGTGTTTCCAAAGTACCAGTGACAGCATGTGACATTGGTGTGAAAGTGACCATGTTCTACTATCTTCACAAGACCAGTCCTGGGACCTCATCTTGAGCTTAGAGTTGGGCTTTGGAGTGTGCAAGCCTGGCTCTCCAAGCCCTCCCAGAGAGTGTTCTATAACTATCCAGTATTCTCTGAATAGATTTTGTTTGTTTGCTTGTTTTGCTTCAGTAGGCCAAAGTTGGTTTCTGTTGATTGTAACTTAGAATCCTGACTGAAAATTATTGTCATAAGATACCATGAGGTTTAGCCCCATTCTTAGCAAGTTGGATGTGCTTGAAGTACATTAACTGTTACTTATCTCAGTGTATGCATATGTGTGGGAGTGGGAGTGGGGGATGAGTATCAGCAACAACCACCATTTACAGTCACCCATTAGGTGTGATGTATGTCCCATGTCATGCCCCTTTCTTTAGTGTGAGCCTATGAGAGGACACTTATATCCAGATGAGGAATCTAAGACCTGTTTTGATGTCTTAACCTGGCTAAGGTAACACAGCTCGTAGAGGTGTGATCCCATCTCAGACTGAGTAGAGACCCCCTGATTTTTCTACTCTACTACTCTGACCCCCATCTGAATGGATGACTTCCTTCTCTCCTCCCTCCTTCCCTTCCTTCCTTCTCTCCTTCCTTCCTTCTTTCCCTCCCTCCTTTCCTTTCTTCTTCCTTCCCTTCTCTTCTTCTTCTTCGTTATTTTTTTGTCACCGACCATTTAGTTGGGCCAGTGTTTTCCCTGGGTTTGGTAACACCAGTGTGAGCGTGGGTGACAGATTTATGGTGGCATTCCCATTCACTTTTCAGAAACCCACACATCCGGAAGTATTCCCAAGGTGCCAGTGTGTTATTACGCAACACCCCGGGACTTCCCTTTCCCACTTTCCCACCCCAGCGACCTTATCCCCCAGCACATAATAAGTTGCTTGTTAAAAAGAACACCACCCACAAGACCTCTTAGGCAATGCAAGCTGCATCCCCAGCAATGTGAAAATTATCTTGTCCTTTCCCCCCTTTTTAAAACATGTAACATACACCAGGCCTTAGGTTTCAGTTAAAAGATGTGGTATCGGTAAAATGATAACTCCCCACTGCGCACCCCCACCCCCACCCCAACAGACACTGGCTGGAGGCATTGTTTGGCAGCACGGGGAATTCTGTTCCTATAGCACTGAGTCATAAACCACAGCCAGGCTGCTGATAAAAGCTGAAGGAGGGAAAGTAATGCTCAAATTAGACAAAATGTGAAGCATCCCCAAAAGGGGCTCTACCTAGTGATACATCTCAAGCCAGTGCTGGAAGTGAGCTACCTTCTGAGATGACATGCAGTCCGCTATAGGAGATGCAACTGGGGAGGACTCCTCATGCTCGGTTTTGATTTACCACCCTGTGTCCTTCAGGATGGCTGGTCCCAGGGATGAGTTTAGATATGGGGGCCTGGGCTGCAGCTCAGCATCCAGGGGCCTCAGTTTCCCCCTCTGT